CAATATATATATATTTCCTAAGGAGCTAACGGGTACTTGCTCCATCCCTATCAAAAGGCACCATGGCTAAAACAACGAGACAGGTTGTCACATTTTTAATAAGGCTCTGACACAGATATAGCTGCTAGTTAAAAGCTCCCCTAAGAAGCAGTAAATACCTCATGCATTCATTATACTTAATGTCTCTGGACAACAGGGGGAGAGGGGGAGGGGGGGGGACAAGTCCTCTCAGCTTTTCTAGGTATCAAGGAAGCACACTGCAGGAACATTTTTTTTCCCTTAAAGTCCCATGGCTTGAGTTGGAAGGTGGGAACGTCCCCCCCACACCTCTCTCCCTGTCATTTCAAAAATTGACCCTTTTCAGCACCCCGTGGCACCTTGAAACTACCTAGAATCTGGTGGCTTCAATTATCTGTGTGGTCAGAGGTGGGCCAAGCACCTTCCTTCAGAGTGGTCACTTCCTCAGCCTCATTTCACAGTTCTGGCCAGCAAGAGACGTTTTAGGGAAATAGCTGTCCAAACCTACGGGCGGTAAGGTGAAGAAACTATTCAAGCAAAGTTGCAGCCGAAGAGGTTTCCTCAGAGATTCCCCCCCCCCCCGAAAAAAAATTGAAGTGCGCAAACTCACTTCAAAATAGTGCCTCACACGCACGGTGAACAAAGATTTCTTGCTCTTTCTGTAGTAACTATAGGCAAAAGACAGCGGGCCTTAATGCTATTTTGTCAGAATGGCCGGCTGTAGTTATTGCTGAGGGCTTGTGTACAATCGATGCCCAAATCTACGAAACGGAACATATAAGAGTTCTGGTTGTGTGGTGATTAAAGGAAGCCACATACCAACTGTTAAGACAATTACTTACTTCAGCTTTTTAGGGGAGGGAAAATACAACAGTACATCCATTCTGGAAGAGCATTGTAGCATATCCTTCTGACCAGGCCCTCTGACAGAAGGGTGTAAATTTTTTCCACACCACTCCACAGCAACAAACACTGAGAGGGGGGTGCAGAGGAGTTTTGGGGGGTTGGGTTCTGGTTTTGGTTTTTTTGTTTTGCTTTTTTTCCTAGGGAACTTCAATGCAAAACTGCATTATAGGAAAGAAAGATTTTGTCATTTAGTGGTGTTGGAGAACCCCCAAAATAAATACAGTGGGAGGCCTAGTTGACACGTGTGGGGCAACTCCGAATATTGTCCTTAAAAGGGGGGGGGGATTTAATGCTCTGAACCTTTGCAGCCAATTGCTGATCTAAAATTCCCCAGAATTTTAGCTGTCAAATGCTAATCTAAGCGTCACCATACCTTTTAGACCAAGTCAATCACAGAGTTAACTCCCCCCCCCATATAATGCACCCTTTTCTGCCCTCACTTTTCCATACTTTTTCTTTTTTAAAAAAAGAGAACAATCCACCCTTTAACTTAAAGGAATACAAGTGAATTTATACTTCTTTCTGCTGTCCATAGTATGTTTTGCAGGCCTGCAGAGAAACATCAACATGTGCCAACTCCTTTCAGATTTGGAGAGCATACATACAGCATGCACGTGGGTAATTCCAATTTTTAAAATCTATTTCTATTTCTTTTTCATTTACATTTATTTAAAGAACACACTCCATGTTTATACCGAACATAACTGTGCCTTTAGTCATTCTTCCTAAAGTTCACAGATAAGTTTTGGGACATTTAGGTACTTTCAAACTATTTCTTTTTTTAAAAAAGACTTCATATTTAGTTGCCTTTTATATCTCACTAGTGCGGGGTGGGTGAGTCTCTATTTTGAACAACAGCAAAGGGGGGGCTTTGTTCTCCCTTTTTATTTTCAATAGGCATCCTAGTATGAAATCCAACCGCCACAAGTCCCTCATCGTAACTCGCCAATCATCGTTGAGCTCAGGAAAAAAAAAATCGGGAAGGTTGATCAAGTTAGAATCTCTCTGTACCTTTTAACTGTGTTCCGTCTTTCTCTCGACATTTTAAACGGTCCAGAGCATCTTTCCATCCAAATCTGACCACAATTTCAGAAACAAAGAACAAAAAAAGAGGAAGGATGAATCGAATAACTTTGCTGAACATGCCAGCCCCGTCCTGAGCTTGGGCAAGCTAATTGGACAAACCAGCAGATGTTAATATTGTTACGGCTTCTGCACCAATTTCTATTCCTGTCTCCTACGCGTTCACTGTTCAAAGCAGGGGGGGGAGAGAAGGCACCCCCCAGGCCAAAAACAAAAGCAGGATCCCTTTCCTTCCTATGAAAGCCATCAGCTTCCCTGCAAAGTTTCTGAAAGTTTCAGAGCATATCCAAGCCGCAGGAAAGACAGGCAGAAATCCCTTTCAGTATGTAAACTCGGTAAACTGAAAGGCAAGCTAACAACGACATTCCTGAGAACGAGTCCAGGGCTCCTGGTAGTCCACTGTCCAGTTCATAAATGGGCCTCAAACGTATTAATAACACTGTCGTTTTCTGTCTGACAGGTGGTAGCACTGTAATTTCAGAGGGCATGCAGAAGACACCCCCCCCCCTTTAAGGAAAACTAAGACTGCAACATCTCTGCCTAGGCAACATGCATTTTCATGTGAAGTATACATGTCCAGTCGTAAATATAAGTGCACAACCTGGACAGAGTTCCATGTGTGTGTGTGTGACTACCGTCAAACACACCAAGTGTAAACAAACGGTAATGATTAACAGAGACACTGGTTTGTGTTATGAGCCAAAACCCCAGATGGAACATGGTAAATAAAAGGAATGGTATTGCAGGATTCCTCCCCCGTCCGCGTCTAATCGTTTCTAACTATCTACCTGGATCTCCATCCACCTGCGAAGGCTGGTGGCATTACTCTCATTTAGCTGCTAGCAAAACTCTGAAAGCACATTTCGGGGCGTGGGGAGGATAAGACTTCATTTGCCAAAAGTTGGCTTCAGAAATGAAAACGAAAGTGAGTTCTGTTGGACAGGACATGCAGCAAAGAACTAGGGAGCGCGATTTATGTCCCCGAATTCTGCACCTATTTCAGCTCATGGCTGGGGTGGGGAGTCCGAAGGACTCAGATGTTTGCACCCATGTTCTGGGGGTTCGTACACAACCGTGTCCCTGCGGGAGACGGAATAGTTCTGAGGACCCACAGTGCTACAAAATTATTGCCCAGTAAAGGGAAGGTCTACTCGGGTAAACAGTTAAGTCTCTCTCAGGTAGGGCAGTATCACAATATTATGAAAGGGGAGGGGGGGAGAAATGTCAGTGATTTTAAACAAAGGAGGGGAATTAATTAGATCAAATAAAACCTTGGACGGAGTTCAGAAGTTCCAGTCCAAGGTGTTTTCTGACATGGCAGCGTTTTAAGTTACAAAATAAAGCAAGAGTTCTTAAAAAAAAAAAAAAAACACCACCCAAACTCCTATTGCTGGTTTCTCTTACTTTACTTATTTCACAGAGGCACACCTAGCCGGTCTGATCTTTCTTAGCTAATCTAAATGCTAAATTCTCTCTCTGTGTGGATCCCCTTTGCCTTCTTAAGATGCTTGAGGGGTTTCCCCCCCCCTCTTCCCCCCCTCCTTCCCGGTCCCTTTTACTATCCTATTCGGCAGTCTGAAGGCTGAACAGCTTGACTTAGCATATTTTTAACCAGCTGGTCTGTCACCTATCTCCCCTTGCATCGTCAGATGCAACCAAATGTTTCTGCAGAAGGTGGCTTTGCATGCAATTTGGGGAGGGGGAAGGTAAGAAGCCTACGTTCTGAAAATTAAGACTTTGTTGTTGTTGTTGTTGTTGTTTTTAAAGGAGCCACTTAGAAATGCAAACTTTGCCTTCCTCCTTACAGTCGAACAAGAGGAAAATGCTGAAAAGGAAATGTAGGGGGGAGGGAGTCCCTGGCCCTCCAAAGGCGACTGTATACAAATGGCCCAGGAGGGGTCTTCCCAACATCTTCAGCAAAGGGCGGCTTTGCATGAAATAAACAGTTGTTGGAAGAAGTTAGGATCCAAGGGTGGGTGATCTAGAGCTGTTCGGAGCCGTGATTTGAGCAACTGTATCCCTGCAATGGAGCACGTTGGCGGTAAAAATCAAAATATCAGTGTTTGACATAGGGTCGCAGAGGTCTGCTGAGGGTAACCTCCAAAGGAAGTTTGACTTGGCTCCCCTGACCAGCTCCCGGCTCTCCTCTGCCTGCTCTAGGGGGGGGGGGGATGTTAACTTTGCCCCCCACCCCAATAAGCACTCCTATTAGAGGGACAAAAACTAAAGTAGGGTGGTGAGTTTGCAAACTTTCAGGGAAGGCTTACGGAGAAAGTTTCAAGCCGGAGGGACTGTTCTTCCATTCATCCCCGGGAAGCGCTCTGTGAACAGGGGGAGAAACACCGATTTTTTCCCCCCCAAGAAAGGGGAGGAAAGAAAGAAACACACACAGAGAAATCTGCCTAAGACACTGTTGCTCTCATTAGCTTAACAGATTAATCCAGACAGAGAGAGAGACCAGCAAGGGGAGGGGAGAGAAATCAGTAGGAAAAAAGAAAGGTGGTGGTGGGGGGAGATATTCAGCCCTGATGATATTCATTCAAACCCCGAGCAGGGAGCTCAACCAAATCCGAAAGGCATCTCTGTCGAAGTAGATTACAGGACTTGGGGGGGGCGATCCCTTTCCCATCTAAGAGGCGGCCGGGGGGGGGTGGGGGGGGGGGGAAAGAGATTGAAATAAACAAGCAAACACCCATCAGTTGTAAATCTGACATTACGGCATGCCGGGAAGGGAAGGGAAGGGAGATCAAGTCTTTTCGCTCCTACTACAGATCAGAGAAGCCGGCAGTTTGTTTTGTTTTGCTTTCTCCCCCCCCCCCCTTTCAATTCTACAGACGGGCACGGAAGAGGAAAGTTGCACTTTACAAAAGCTGCCAGGGCTGCGGGGAAGATCTCTCCGAAAGACCGACAAACCAGAATAATGCCACGAGAAGCGAAGCGGGCGCAGGAGAGGGAGAAAGACATGCAAACCAACTACGATTTCTTGCACTCACCTTTCAAACTCCTGGGGTAAATCGGGGTCAGTTAACATGCTGGAAAAACCCGCACCGGTTTTGTTGTTTGGTTTTCCTCCCCCCCCCTTTCTTTCTCCCTTTGTCACAGTAGCCACCTAGGATCGCCTCCAACTGAACCTGTCAAGTGAATCCAAACCTCCTCAACCCGATTGATTTTCCCCCCTCTCCCACTCTCTCTCCAGCTCTCTCTCTCTCCTTTTGCTCGCTCTCTCTCTCTCTCCCTCTCTGAGCTAGGACTCCTTGACCAGTCTCTTAAAGGGCCAACGCACTTTAGCTGGAGCAGGAGACGGTACGGAGCAGACTCCCCCCACATCTGCGCCGCATGGCTGTGGTTTGCCAAGCGGCGGCGGCGGCAGCAGCAGCCAACCTCGGGGTGCCTGTCCGCCTGGGCTGGAACAGTCCCCACCGGGGGGAGGGACGGAGGGGGGGGGGAAGAATCCCTTGCGAAGTCAGCTCCTTTCAGGCTCCCCCCCTCCTTCCTCCTCCCCCTCCCCCCTGTCATCACTATCATCATCATCACGGGCACACACACACACACGCACGCACACATTGGGAGATCAAACACTCCAAAGGAAGAAACATCCAGGCGGGGGTTGGGGTTTTTTTGTTTGGAAAAGCCGGACCCCCAAAACTCCGCTAGGCGAAACAAACAAATTGATCTCAGCCTCAGTTTGCCCAATGGACTGGGTAGAGGGAAGGCTTGTAAGGGGTGCGGGACACTTTTTGGGAAACAGGGTATATTTTCTATTATGCCCACTGATCGATCAATAACCTATTATGGTCAGGGACCAGCAGAATAAAACATGCATTAGCAGAGGCAGTAGAAAAAACATCTATCTATCTATCTATCTATCTATCTATCTATCTATCTATCTATCTATCTATCTATCTATCTATCTATCTATCTATCTATCTATCAATAATAATAATAATACAACAATAATACAACTACCAGACCCCCCCCCCCATTCTAGAATTGAAATTCTTCCTTTCCCCCAGTTTTCTGGCTGGGCTAACCCAGCCCAGGGGCTTTCTCTACATTTCCCCTCATTTTGTATCTATATTTATTTCACACATGCACATGTTTATTGGCATGTGTATCACAGGAAGCCTATTTAAACATCCCAATCTAATTCTGCCCATCAGGCTCAATCTGGGAGAGGGGAGGGGGGATTAGGATCTGTGGGGCAGAAAGAGATCATCTGGGGAAAAGATTGTGTGGGTGTGTGTCTCAACATCAAAAGTTGGAGAGAGTTTACCTGAACTAGGGGTACCACAGTCAGTCACTGAAAGATTCCGGGCAAATCCTAATCACCCTCCACCAACAAATACAGGCGGGAAGGAAGGGAAGGGTAACATAATAGCCCATATCTTATTTACTATGTTCCTCAAATCTATGCCTGTGATTCCATATTTCTGCATCACACCTAGAAGTAAATACACAGGCGTGTGCAGGGCTGTTTTTTGTTTTTTGTTTTTTTAATCCTCACCACATTCAGTGAACAGGGATTATCTAACACACAAGCTATACACTACCCATCACTTTACCCTTTGTATAGGTGAAAGGTGGTGGGGGGGGCACAATAGGGTGAGATCAGTGGCCTGAGGAACTTTAAACAGGGACTGCCTGATTAAAACAGAAAGCACTTAGCAACTCATTCAGACTGGAGGAAGGACAGGGTTGGGGGGGGGGGGGGGAAAAAGAACAATGTTCCCAAAGGCATTTGCATCCGGAGAGTTACCGAGGGTATATCTTTAATATGCGTCCCTATCGATTTAACATGCATACATTATCCCCCCCCTCCTTACTTCTTCTTCATTTCTCTCTCTCTCTCTCCTTTTTTAAAAATATCTCTCACTCTGAGCAGGGGGGAAATGGGGGGGGGGACCCGCACAACAATCAAGCATTGTTCGGAGGAAAGAAAAGCAACTTTGACAGATTGAAATATACCAGAGGCCCCTTCAAGGAAACCTGTAAACAACATGTCAGTCACTCTGTCGGTTTCACTGCTTTGCCCACAAAGTGCTGCGAAGCGGCCTGGCACCGACAACAACACCACCAACAACAGGGAGAAAAAATAGAATCTTTACACACATACGCACCCCGCTCCAGTCCCTAAAGAAGAAGTCCCAAACTCCATCAAAGGGTTTTATCAAATGGGAGGAAAGGAAAAGGAAGCTTTGTGTGTGTGTGTGTGTGTGTATATATGTGTGTGTGTCTGTATATATATGTGTGTGTGTGTGTGTGTGTATATGTGTGTGTGTGTGTATAAGTGTGTGTGTGTGTGTGTAAAGTTTTCCCTCGCTCGAAAGCTAGTCGAATCCGACTCTAGGGTTGCGGTGCTCATCTCCGTTTCCAAGCCGAAGAGCCAGCGCTGTCCGAAGACGTTTCCGTGGTCATGTGGCCGGCATGACTAGACGCCGAGGTACATGGAACTTTGTTACATTCCCACTGAAGCAGTACATATTTATCTACTTGCAATTTCTTGCTTTCGAACTGCCAGGTTGGCAGGAGCTGGAACCAGAGATGGGAGCTCACTCCATCATGTGGCACTAGGGCCTCAAACTCGAATATATATATACACACACATGTACATACACATATGTATTAAAAAAGCAATCCCACATCGAAACTAGCTGCACAACCGCACACATACAGCCGCCAGCTCTATTCAGCTTGTAGGTGGCTGCTGGATTCCTCCAGTCTCTTTTTTTCTCCCCCACTGAGTGGCGGGTCCCAGTCGTTTCCCTGCCCAGCCAAGTTAAGGAGGAGGATACATCTATGGGGTCTCTAGTACTGAGGGTCCCAGGAGCATCCTGGCTTCCTTAGCCAGTTCCAATTATACTGATAACAATCTGGCAGAGAGAAAGGTAATCGGGTAATGGCTCTGGGCTGGCGGTGCCAAGGAATCATGCGTGCGCGCACACACACAACCACTGCGGCTTGCCTCATATGATAACGCAGAGGCTTTTTTCACAGGACATGGGATGAGGGTGTAGTCTGCCTCCAAGATAGGGTTGCCAACTTCCAGGCAGTGGCTGGAGATCTCTGGTTACAACCAATGTTCCCTCCAAGCTGAGTTAGTGTGAGCTAGCTCACAGTTTTTTAGCCTCCAGCTCACACATTTTTGTCTTAGCTCAGGAAGGAGGGCTCCAAGACAAACTAATTTATGCAGAACCCTAAATCGCTCGCTCACAACTTTAATACCAGTCGTTCACAAAGTAGAATTTTTGCTCACAAGACTCCACAGCTTAGAGGGAACATTGGTTACAACTGATCTCCAAGCCACAGGGAACCAGTTCCCCTGGAGAAAATGGCTGCTTTGGAAGGCGGGCTCTCTGGCATTATACCCCACTGAAGTCCCTCCCCTTCCAAGACCCGCCCTTCTAAGGCTCCAAACCCCCCCCCAAATCTCCAGGAATTTCCCAACCTGCAGCTGGCAACGCTACTCCATGAAGCTCGGCTGTATCGCCAGGATGGGCCTTCCAACATGGTTTACCCACAAACACTGCTGAGTCAGCCAGAGGGAAAGATCCCAGCTATCTACCTACTCACAGGATTCGGCCAGTATCCCCCCCCCCCA